TCGTCCAGACTAGTGGACTTCTAAGAATGCAATAACAACATTAATAAAACATTAACACAATTAAAAATTATCAGCTTAAACTGTCTAACCATTCTTAATGAAGAATAAAATCTCTATTAGATATTTGAATAAAGGTATCTGTTAGTTTTTGCCTTATAACAAATGCTTTGTTTGGCAAAAAATAAAAAACATTAATGACAGGCAACCTTCCACTAAGATTAACTGGAACCCACTGCTGATTCTTGGCATTTGATGCCACATTTTCCTACCTTAAGTTGTCAAAGTCATTAATGCATTTAGGAAAGCTACTTCAACTTCAGAATGTTTAAGGCGGTAGTTTTATATCCATCCAACTCCAGGAGTTTTTGGAAGATTTCAAAAGCAAAGTCGGCACCCCATTCTTTAGAGATATTTTTGTTCTGAAAAGAAGAGAATGGCAGAAAAATGTTGGGATCTCCGATTATCTTTATAACAATAAAGGTGCTTTGCTGTTTTCATTCATATGTGTGTTATGTGTAACAGTCGTCACCGCAACTCTGTTAAACCAGTAATCTTGTGCCACACTGAAGACTGAAGCTACTGTATGATTACATGAGCCCTAGAGGAGCTTACTGTAACTTCTGCTTAACGGAACATATCTGTGATGCAGTCTTTGGCTCGATGGGAATACAATATCATGCAGTTTTCCCTGTTTCTGACACTTTACGTTCATTTCTGCCACAGATAATGTGAAAAGACACTGTGGAGCCAGATTCCTGTGCAACAAGCTGCTGCTGTCTTCATCACTTTGCCTCAGCAACTTTTACTTACAATGTGTCTCTAAGGCCAAAGTGTTTCAATGAATCATTCTCTCAATCCTCCTGTGTGTTCAAGAGAAAATAGTTATTTGAGGGTGTCAACATGTGCTTCACATGTACTTTGCCCCAGGCTTTTTCATGGTAAAACTATGACAGAAACAGTGATGAAAGGAAGTCATTTGCTGTGGTTGGGAATTGTTTTTCCTCTCAGTTTCCTCTCAGTTTTTGTGAAGTTAAACATTTATCTTTTTGATGATAATTCTTTACATAATTAGAGTTGTTGCACGATTATTTTTAAATTACTTAAGTTTGCTCTAATGTATTCAGTTGAACTTCTGCCTAGGAGAACAAAAAACTTTTCTTATTCTCATGAATAAGAAATGAGTACTGTTAGAAATAAGTTGTTTTTCTAAGTTAACTGGTGCTTTCTTAGCTTTTGGATTTCTCCTCTTTTGTCTTGTTCACTGTTGTGTCAGCACCACAAGCCTTTCCCTTTGGGAAATGAAAAACTGTAAGATAGGTATTGAGTTGTCTATCTTTGAGCACAAGCAAAAGAATTGCTTTCGACTTGCAAATATTTTAGACATAATTGGAATAAATGTCTTTTGGGAAATATCCTTGGCATTCACGGTGTCCTCCTCCTCCTCTATAAAGGTTAATAGTATCAGATCTCAGTGAGTGAGTCAGTAAACTTAACTGTGTCATTTTGTGATGGAAAAGCTTTTTTTTTTATCTTGAAGTAGAGGAGATGCAGTCAACAGGTCAGGTTTTATTCTGGTAAGAATTAATGAATACAGCAAACATAGCCTGAAAGGAAGATCAAAGTAAGATAAAGGGAGACTGGTTTGCAGAAAAATGTTAATTATTTATTTAGTAAGCCATGCATGTCTCCTTTGCAAGATTTTTACTAAATGTGTTTTTTGTTTTCTCTTACATCTCTCAGATATGGAGACATGGTCCCAAAGACTATTGCAGGGAAAATCTTCGGCTCAATCTGCTCTCTGAGTGGTGTGCTGGTAATTGCCCTTCCTGTCCCTGTCATCGTGTCCAACTTTAGCCGCATCTATCACCAGAACCAGAGAGCAGACAAGCGGCGGGCGCAGAAGGTACAGGTGAACACAGTTTTATTTCTCTTCTGACGGGTGGACCTGCATCTTTCCAGGCCAGGGGAGGACTCGGGTATCTTTCTACATCAAAGAAACTCAACATGGTTCAGGTCACATTAAAAATTAAAGAGGTGTCTGATCCTGTCCACTGTTGTTACAAGTCAACTTTGGGTCTCGTATCACCACGGAAACGTAAATAATTCCTAGATTAAGGAGTAAAGCAACCACTTCAGATTACATGGTGCAGCTTGCTCAAGATAATATTCTGATTTTAATTTTGTTTAGCTGTAACCCCAACATTGGACAATAAGATAATAAACTATTCAAAGCAATTTGTGATACTACTAATAAATGTTTCAAACACATCTGTTAATGTATTTTCTATATTTGTCCAATTACTAGAGATAAGCACACAATTACAGCATGTTGTGTTACCCTGCTGGCAGTGAACAGTTGTAGGGAGATATTTTTGTCTTGAAAATGGAAAAAAAGTCCAAGACATCTTTGCTATTTTGTTGTGAATACCTTTAACAAGCAAAACTAAAGGAATAAAAACTATATTTTTTTAGCCACAGAAAGGTGGCCTGTATAAGAGAATATAGCTTTGTCTTTATCATTTTAGGAGCAGTCTAAAAAATACACGGAAAGGCTGCTGTTAGATTTAGTAGTGCCACTTGTGTCAGCAAGTGCCCGCAGCTAAAAATAAAGACTTAATTGAAACCTAAAACATCATCATATTTTCTGCGGTTCATTTTGGTCAAATGCGAAATTCTTTTGCTATTGAGTTGTCTGCTTTGATTTCTGAAACATTTTGATGTCTGCTGTCCCATCCCTTTATCCTGCTATGTCTTTCTATACAAGATTTAGTTGCCCAAAATTTGACAGGATGACAAAAATATAAACATGGCACCCGGAAACACCAGTCTTTGCAGTTGTAAAACTACATATTTTAACATCATGGTGCACCTGGAGACCAGTTACTCCCTCTGCCTTCAAAGGACAGTTAAAAAAGGACTGAACCCCAAATATGAAAAAAATCTCTTAATATCTCCATATTGTATTATAAATCTGGGCCTTCGTTTGGTTGTTTTATGGGACTTTCTTGGCTTTATTTTTTTGGGCTGCCACCTAAGAACCACATCATTTCAGTAAAACTGATTTTACTTGTGATCTGGAACATTTCATCAATTCAAAATAGTTGTTAATTTAATTTTGTTTTGTTTTATTTGTGCTGTGCATTCAGTGACGTTCAGTAGACAGCTAAAATGATGGTTTTTCACAGGCTCAGGTCCAGCTTCGGAGTTCAAATAACACTGGAATGTAATTATTCTCCTCTGCTCCTAGTATCCCTTCACCAGGTGTCTCAAACAACCAGAAGCAAAATAAAATTTGCTATTCATTATCCAAGCTCTACAGAGATTGATGCCTAAGCTACAAAAATCTTTCACACAAGTTAATTTCAGTTATTAAAATAGACAACAGTGCTGAGAAAAATCCATGCAAAATGTACTATAATTCATCATCGATCTGTTTTTAAGCCTAAGACCTATTATCAGGTTAGCGTTGACACCTCATAACCCCCCAACCTTCTCGAATAGTAAAAAAAAGACATCTGAAAAAAAAATGTCTCTCTTTCTCTAAGGACAGTTGACGTGTTCCTGGGCTAGCTTAGAGATGTAATCCCTCAAGTAAGTTGTGAGGCTTTCCAGAGGCAGTCATTACATCTTTAAAATACCTCAACTGATATGTCTCAACTTAAGGAAACAGCTGCTTTGTTTCCCATTTTTCTCTTTCCTCACCATACGGGGACCCTCTTTTCAGATGTTTGTATCAATCTTCTAACTTCTTTCAGTATACATAATGTATGGCTGTATGTCAAAATGGATAATCTAAAGCCTAACCTAGGACAAATGTGTATCTCATTATTTACAGATTCTATGTATCTAAAATGTAATTTTTATAGACGTGGAAATGTAAGTATGTGCCAAAGGGGTAGCTTGTGGAGAACAAACAATTTTGATAATAGTTTAATTACGATTCTAACAAATACTTTGCAATATCTGTAAATATCTGGTTCTACTGTACCTAAAGATGCATTATTTCATAAAATTTATAACATTTTGGTTGAGAGAGAGAGATATCATGAATCTGTCCTCCCTCTGGTATATAATTGTGCCTTTAAATCTTTTACAAAATCACTTTTTGTTGCAGCCAAACCAAGTATAGTGGCATCAGCTGGCTCTCATACAAAACTGAGCTGGTAATCATAGTTTGAAGGCAGGCCTGACAGTTTTTGTTCACCCTAGATGGATAGTGTGTTTGCTCGCACTTGGCAGACATGCATACCCGGACACATATTTTCAGAGTCCATCTCTCTCTCTCTCATCACTGCCATTCACAGCTTTTAAAAGCTATGTATTTTACACCAGCTCCTCTTCTTCCCTAATCCATGCTCCTCTGCTTCCATCCACTGCTGCACCCCCCCCACCACAACCTCATTTTTCTTTCACCTTTCCTGTGATTAATGCCATCCATCTCTGGACATGTTCTCTGGTTGCAGTTTAAATCTGTTTAAAGTCCTGCAACTGTGACCTGACCGCTGCCTGGGTCTTAACTAAGCATAACCTTGTCTGCTGAACAAGACTCCACAAGGCTCTGTAACAGAGCCAACTGTTCCGGAAAGAAGAGTAGGATTGGCCAGTAGAGGGTATTCTCTAGATGGAAAGCAGGTTGAAATGAGATACGAAGAATTAGATGGAGATAAAAGAGAGGAGAAGGAGATGTACAAGAAAGGCCAGAGGGAAGGGGTAAGCAGAGGAGGCAGAGTAGACATGGGATAGAGCTGGAGGCAATGCATGTCCTGATGTTGTGTTCTTTCCTGAAATAGATATCACCCAGATGAGGTGCTGGCTGAAAGTTTATGTCTGTAGGCCTGTTAATGTGTGCATATGCATCTGCTGAGTTAAAAAACATCCCCATCTGCATCTGATGGGGGATTGCATCTGTGCAGCACAGTAGCTGTGTTTGCATCCACCTTGCTTTCTACAACCTCAGTCTCGACCCCCACTGTATCGCCTTCCCGTGTTATTTTTTTCTGAGCTGCAGTGTTGAGCAGTGTCTCAAGACACTGGCATATCACAAGACTCCCACACCAATGAACCACTGTAGCACAGTGCTGTAGACTTTTAGAAAAATGTAAATGTCATCATTTCATTTGTACTAAGTTACAGGCATTTGGCCTGCTAGGAATGTTGTGTTGTTTTAACTTCAAACGGGCAGAGCAAATGTCTCCCAGAAAGGGTTGGGCCTTGTCCACCTATGCGGTTGCAGGTGAGTGATCAACACCACCAATAAACCTACACCCCCCTTTTTGTACGTGTAACCCCCCGCCTCCCCGATGTCTCTGTGACGTCCGATATAAAGGCAGGGGACGGAGAGGTCCCGGCAGAGTTGACCACAGACATTCAGGGAGTGTCATTCTCTGTCTGTTTCAACTCTCCTCTTTTGCAGAAAAGTAACTTTTGTTTGTGTTGGTTTATTTCTAGGGCAATAAGACGTTATCATCATCAACTCTATCATAGACCTATATATCATTAATCAGCATCAAATGGCATTTTGGAGTCACTCATAAGCATATTTGGCTTGCCTTTGGTGAGGTCAATGATTTGCCTCAAGCACCAGGATATTTAGTGGATTGTCATCCTCCCTTTCATGGCATTATGACTGAAATACCTTATGACCACTTTCAGGATAATGTTACACCTTATTGCTTCAAAAGACTTATTAGTGCTATTGATGATGGAATGTTTATAAATATGATTATTCATTTAATTTTTCCAACATTGTTAGGTCTTCCCAGTACTCATTACATACCATTTCTTAGACCTATTAGTTGTGCTCCATTCATTCTGTTGTCCTGTAGTTAAACAAGCTTTCAGAATCAGTACAGATATTTTAATCTCCAGATTTGTAAAACTTATTTCTAAACAATGTCTTTTTACCCAATTAGGTAACCTGTAAAAGTAATTGATAATCTATTGAACTCAACCTTTTTTTTAAGCTTATTAATATTACATAATATATTATCTCTCCTGTTTCCTTTGTGGAAGGTTATGTTTTTGTGGCTGTTCAAAAAAAAAAAGTCCAATATTTTCTGCTATCATTTAAAACTGTGACTGATGCTTTTACTCCAGGTAGTCCTCTTGCAGCATAATGGGATTCAACTTTAATTCTGAGATCCATTTTCATGAAATAATACAGAGTGAAACAAAATCAACTTATGCAGGCACACTGAGGAATCTGTTAGTGCTTTATAAAAACTCACTAAATTAGGACAATTAACCTGCTAATTAAAACCATTTGAATTATTGGATCTCTTCTCATGTTGATAATGAAATGAATAGAAACTGAATTAGATTGTCCTGACCTTTTTGACATGAGTCCTTACCTTTTTAGAATGAGTCCATCTCATCCATCTAAATGTTGCATAACCTAAATCCGATATATATATTTGTTTTATTTTTTATTAATTTATTTATTTTTTGGAGTTTACATACAAGAGTCTCTGCTAACCTCTAAATATTATGGAGCCCTTGTAATTTCATTGTCTGCTTTTTTACTCCTAATGACAGCTGTGGTTCTTAAAGCCCCTCCGGTACCATGAATCACTCAGGCATGGCATAGTCTTCAACACCCCATTACTGCCCTCGGCAGAACATGTAGTGTTTTTTTAATGCTCAATAACCTAAATGACATACAACCTTCCCTGTCATTAAACTAACCATTTGCAAGTGCCACTAGTCATTTACCATAACAGAAATGTCGTTTTCTCCCTACATCTCTCCAACAAGTGGATATGTTTCCAGAAAATTTGTTCTTCCTGAGGTCATTTCTGAGAATAAGGAAAGGTTCAACTGAGAGCTAAATCGGAAAGCAATTTTTAGATTGCCTTTCACTTTATTGAAATGACGAAAGGACAGATGGGACGAAAGGGAGGAGGAATTATG